TTTTGCGCGGCTGGTCCGCGCGCTGGGTGAGGAAGTCGACGGCTTTCAGGTGCAGCCTCCCCCGCCGCACCAGGACGTGTTTTTGTGACCAGGCTTGAGGCGTTTACATTCGCATTCTATCGCGAGCCGTTGACTCGCGTTGTCCGCTCCCGGCTTCTCCATCCTCCCAGAAAAGTTCGATCCTGCCGCTGTGCTCGGCGGCCGGCTGCTAGGCGGGGCACGCGAAGCACCATCACAAGTCAGGGGACCTTCCGTTTGACTCAGGCGGCAGTCCCCTCTCGAGCCCTCTGAGCACATCTTTTTGCCTGCACGCTTGGGAGGCCGGTGCCCTGCCTGCAAAGAGTCTTGGGCCTCTCCGCTGCGCAGTGGCACCCTGAGCACATCTTTTTGTTGCACGTTTGGGAGGCCGATGCCCTGCCTGCAAGAGAGTTCGGGCCTCTCCACGCGGTGGCATCCGCGCATTCCGTAGATCAGCACTCCTCGGGGGTGGGGAGGGGAGCCGGGGGCAGCGTCAGGAAGTTGGAGGTTTGCGGACGTTCTCGTCGGTTCTCGGCATGTTTCCAGTCTGGGATGTCTTCGGCAGCTGCGCCTCGCCGAACGGCCGCCCGAGACCCGATTCCTGACCCGAGAGCCAAAACCAGTCAGGGGCAACATCAGGGGAGAGAAGGGGGGGGAGCAGGAGGGAGGAAGTTTTGGATAGGACCCGTTGAGATGAGCGGACGACAGCGAGCCTCCGTCGTGCCGCAAGCGTGCGACGGGTGGTGCTTACGTGTTTCAAGATACCCACCACACTACCCAGGGCGTCCAACATACACGGGCATAGAGGGGCAGAACATCTTGGCAGGAGGGAGGAGGGAGGGGAGGAGGAGGAGGGGAGGAGGGGGGATGCGGGAGGAGGGGAGGGGGAGAAGGAGGCGGAGTGGGAATCGAGGCACCGCGAACATGGATGAATGCGTGTGGATTAGCGAGGTGTCCCGTCCACGTCGCCAAATCAATCCCAAGCGGTGGTACCGTCAACTCTCATAGTAAGGATGGGCAACCTTCCCAAGGGTACCCTTGCTTCCTTGCCTCCTCGGTCCATCCTTGGCCACTTTCGTTGGCTTCGCCCCGCTCTAAAAGCTTCGAGATGGCCTTCCAAGGCCCTTGCATCCTTACCGTGCATCCTAATGATGCGGGTCGACTGTGCCGACGATCTTGGGAGCGCAGTGTGGCCCAACGCGTGTCTGTCTCGTTGGCCGCCGCCGACGGCGTTGCAGCTCGTGTAGGGTTCCGGTGCCCCGCTTTCCAGCCACCGAGGAGCCTCGGTGGACAGGCGCACATCGGCCTTGCGGGGAAGGCCGACAGCACACATGCGGCCCATGCCCCGTCGCGATACAGTCAACGCGCCTAGTAAGGACGCGCACCTTTATCTAGGGTACCCTTTTGTCCTTGCCTCTGAGGCCCGTCCTTGCCATTATCACTGGTCGCCCGCTATACGTTTTGGCTGTACTGCCGGAAGCCGCTGAAACAGGGACCGCTGGGCCCAGGAGGGACTCCGGTCTTCGGGTCGCTCCCGAGGTGTCCAGGCCGGGGAACCTCTTCGCGGCCGAGGTTTTCGCCGCGGCCTGGGGAGCGGCCTCGTGCCTTACTTCGGGTTTCCAACTGTGGCATCGCGGCGACCGTACGCACCGCGTGTGTCTGGCTGCATGGCCATTCTCAGTCTCTGCCAATCCTCGAACAACGATCGTGCAGACCCTTGGTAATACCCTTTGCCACGAACTTACTTGTGGCGCACGCCTTCGGAGAATCGATAGCAGTAGCAGCGTCGAGAAGGCAGCCGCGGAGGGGAGGGAGGGTGAGGGGGCGTTCGCTGCTGCATTCGCGGTGGTGGCCGGCGCGTGTTGAGTGAGTGCTGTCGAGGCCAGGGGAGGAGGAGGAGGGAGGAAGGACGGGGAGCCGGAGACGAGGATGGGATGGGAGGTGGAAGGCGAGGGAGCGGACGCCTGTGACTCCGATGCAGGCACAAGGGGGGGTGGTGCGCTCGGAGATCGGCGCCCTCCAAGGGCCCCCTCAGCTCTCCATGAGCCCCGTCCGAAGCTCATGCAGTCGTCCGAAGACTTGCTCCTCGACACTCGTCTGGGCCGTGCCGATCCTGGGCCCGGCACTGGTGTAGCCTCCTTTTCCTGGCCAGCCCAGGAGGACGAAAGCACCGACATTGTTGGCCTGGCCAGGACTGGCGTGGGCGAACAGTTGAGGGCGCTTCTTCCAGCCTCCTCCGCTTCCTCCCTCCTCTCCTCTCTCTCTCTCTCTCTCCTGGGGGTCATCCTGACTCTGCTGCTCGGCAGCCAGGGCTTTAGGGCCCCCCTGTCGTCGTCGTCGTCGTCGTCGTCGTCGTCGTCGTCGTCGTCGTCGTCGTCAGCGTCGTCGTCGTCGCGATTGTCGTCGTCCACGTCGTCGTGATTGTCGTCGTTCTTGTCGTCGTGAATGTCGCCGTCGTCGTCGTCGTCGTCGTCGTCGTCGTCGTCGTCGCCGTCGTCGTCGTCGTCGTCGTCGTCGCCGTCGTCGTCGTCGCCGCCGTCGTCGTCGTCGTCGCCGCCGTCGTCGTCGTCGTCGTCGCCGCCGTCGTCGTCGTCGTCGTCGTCGGTGCCTCTTCTCTTTCAGGACTTTTCCCCCCCGCGAGAGGGGCTCCACACGTCTGGGGTCCCGCGGAGGATTTTGGAGGTCCACAGAGGTTCAGCAGGGGCAGAAGGTGAGGCGAATACAGACTGCGGTCCTCCTCCCCCCTCGCTCCAGAGCGTAGAAGCCGAGGCCGCCCGAGACAGCAGTGGACGCAAGGTGTGTGTTTGCGATGGCACACGTGTGTATTTAGCAGGCCTTCCTTCTGCCCCCCTTTCCGTTCCCCTTCCCCTCCCCTTTCCTGCCTCTTCCCCTCCCGTGACCTGCCCCTGTCTGTAGTCAGCCGCCTTTCTCTATTTTTCCGTCTGGTTGCCGTACGTGCAATCTTGCCCACGCGTTTGCAGGACGCAAGGCTTCAGTCAGTCAGTCCGTCAGTCAGTCCCCCCTCGCTCATCCCCATTCCTTGTAAACCCCCCCCCCTGCCGCACCACTGGGCGTAGCCGTGAGTTGGGCCTGGCGTTTCGCTGGAGGCTCCTGTGCAAGCGGGAGTCCTGAAGCTCAGGCAGCCTCACCAGTCACACGAATGGAGGGCCGCCGGTTCTCAGAGTGGGGCTCTTGCCTTGCAGTCGGACCCAGGCCGGAAGAACAACCTTCAAAATTATGAGGTTCTCCGCCAGCCGAGGCACCCGTAAACCCTGAGATCATTCGAGGGCACCCTCCCCCCAGGATGCACAAGAACATCCAACAGGCACGAAAAACATTAGGGTACCCTTCCCGACCTTGCCGGCCTCGATCCCACACCTCGGCTCGACTGCAGCGCCGCGCACACTCGTCTGCACAGCTTGCAGCAGCTGCAGGGAGGAAGGGAGGGCCCGTCGTTTCCGAGCAGCGGCCCCGGCCTTTGTGCGCCGGGCACGCTTGCGTTAAACTCTTGCAGCAGTTGCCAGGAGATAGAGCCCTTGGTTGCAGCCACGACCTGACATTGTGCAACACTTCCGCGAGCGGAGGGCATATTCTTTCCAAAACGGGGGTCCGTGCTGGGCACTTCTCTGGACATACCTACCTCTTCGCGTCTTCCGTCGCTGAGATTCGACGGCAAGCGACGGGGGGAATTGGGAAGGAGAAGGCCTTCTCAGAAGGGGCGGAATTCCCCTGGCCTTCCGGGAAGTTCTCTCGACCTTCCCCGAAGACGGAACGCTTCGCAGACGGCGCCAGGGCCTCTGAGAGGTCTCGTCGCCGTCGGAGGAGGCCCTCTCCTCACTTCCCCCCGCCGCTCGCCGCCGAGCTTGCGCGGGTGGAGAGCAGACTCCCTCTTTTTTCATTATTCTGGCAACATACATTTATTTCTTTTTTATTTTTTTTTTTTATCGGATTCTTTCAATTTTTTTGTTTTTTTTTTTTATTCTTTCTTCTTTCTTCTATTGTATTTTTATTTTTTTTGTCTTCCTTTTTCCTTTTTTTTCTGTTTTCATTGTACTTTTCACTTCTAACTTTTTCTTTTTTCCATTCCCCTCCCCTTCTCCCTTCCTTTACTATTATCTTATGTCTTTTTTTTTCTTTTTTTCTCACAACGGGGGCCTCGCCGGGACCCTTCCCTGATCACGTGGCATCTTCGGGTGTGGCCTCGCTGTCCCGACGTTTGGGCCTTTTCCGTTGTGCCCGACTCGGGCTCGACGCGGATTTGGCGCGGACTTTCGACGCGGATCGACAGGGGTTGACACGTATCGACAGTCCGCCATGGATTCGACAACGGGATAGGGCCGCCAACGTGGACATACAAGGCACCCCCCCTTCTCTCCCGAGGATGCCACAATGATTTTGAAAGCGTTGGTGTCATCGTCTTCGCGTTTCCGTCGCTGACGGGATGAAGGGTGGATTTTGAGGAGAGGAGGAAGAGGAGGGAGGAGGAGGAGGAGGAGGAGGAAGGAAGCAGGAGGATGAGGAGGAGGAGAGGAGAGGAGGAGGAGGAGGAGGAGGAGGGGAGGGGGAGAACTGCGAGGTGGAGGGAGGGGGGAGGCGGAGGAGGAGGAGAAGGAGGAGGAAGCGGAGGAGGAGGAGGACGGAGGAGGAGGAGGAGGAAGGAGGGCGGTAGGAGGAGGAGGAGGAGGAGGAGGGAGCGAGGAGGAGGAAGAAGCGGAGGAGGAGGAGGGGGAGGAGGAGGAGGAGGAGGAGGAGGAGGAGGAGGAGGAGGAGGGGTTGGATCCTGTGTCGAGCGGGGTCTCGCCGGAGCTGCAGAGGCCCCGGCCGGGCGCTCGCCCACGCGAGGCGGGGGCACGCCCCCCGCCGTGGAAGGGCCCGCGCCACGCGCGCACGGAGGGACCTTCTCCGAGAGGGAGGCCTGCCACAGGCGTTCAGTTGGGCCTGTCCCCCTACAGGGGGATTTTCTACGAAAACTACAAAATACCGAACAAATAGTCAAACCATCGTTCAATCATAGTATGGGGACTATTTTTGGAGTTTTTTTTTATTTTTACCTTTTTGGCGTATTTTGGGGGTATTTTGTATTTTTGGTCGACCCCCCCCTGTAGGGGGACACGCCCGACATAGCACAAGCGTCTATCATTGCAGCACAGCCTTCTTCTCTCCCTTCTTCCAGCCTTCTTCTCTCCCAGTTTCGCTGGATCTCTGTCCATCCTTCTTCTCGCCCTCCTCCCCCGAGTTCTCGTCAGAAGGGCCCCCCCCTCGGGCAGTTGCCTCGCCCTTCCTCTCGGATCGGTTCTCGACGGTCCCGTGGCTCGAGGTCGGCCGCGAGACCCTCTGGCGTCTTCACATCCTCATATATCCTCCTATCCTCCCCCTCCTCCTCCTCCTCCTCCTCCTCCTCCTCCTCCTCTTCCGCCTCCTCCTCCTCCTGCTCCTCCTCTCTGGTGGTCCCCAGGGGTCCCTGAGGCCTTTTGGAAGCCCAGCAAGCTTCAGCATGTCCGTCGTCTTCTTTTACCCTCGACGAGCGGGATGACGAGGAGGAAGACAACCACAAGTCGAGGAGAGAAAGCGTACCGTAACCACCACCTGGCCCCCCCCCTCCCTCTGGGGCTGGGCCAGAGAGAGAGAGAGAGAGAGAGGGAAGGAGAGTTTCGAGGCCTGATTGCGAGGAGGTTCCGCGCCGACCGCACAAGTAGTGTATCCCACCGCTGCCTTCACCTCACCCCCGCCTTTCTGAGGAGGGGGGGGGGCAGGTGGGGCGCGGGGGTGACCTCTGCTCACCTAGACGTGGAGGAGGAGGAGGAGGAGGAGGAGGAGGAGGAGGAGGAGGAGGAGGGGAGGAGGAGGAGGAGGACGTGGAGGAGGGGGGCGACGCCTTTCGTCCCGCCGCCGTCTCTGCGTGGTGCCCTCTGCGCCCGCGCGCGCGTGCGCCCTCCGCGCCGAGGGCAAGACCGTCCGCCTCGCCTCGGCCTCGGCGGACTCCAGAGTAAACCTGCGGCTCCGCCCTGCCCGGGCGAGGACGACGAGGGGAGAGAGAGAGAGAGAGAGAGAGAGAGTGATAGAGAGAGTGAGAGAGAGAGAGATAACAAGAAAACAGGGAGAGAAAGAGAGAGAGAGGGAGCGAGAGAGAGAGAGAGAGAGAGAGACAAAAACAACAGCGGAGGAGGAAGACGAGGAGGAGAGAGGAGGAGGAGGAGGACGAGGAGGAGGAGGAGGAGGAGGAGGAGGAGGAGGAGGAGAGGAGGAGGAAGCGGAGGAGGAGGAGGAGGAGGAGGAGGAGGAGGTACGGTGGCGCCGCTGCAGATTTTGGCCTCTGTTTCTGCAGCTTGCCATTGTATCAGGTCGCATTGACGTCAAAAAAAGGACGGAGGGGGAGAAGGCGGAGGAGGGGGAGGAGGGGGACGAGGGGGAGGGGATGGGGGGGGAGGGGGAGGGGGAGGGGCAAGCTAGGTGCGGAAGTGTCTTATCTGACGTCCTACCCATCCGTCCCATCACTTACCACGGCGCTCACCTCATCTCTATTCGCGCAGTCGCATGTCGAATCATGGCATAACAGTACATGGCTTATCATTGCGTTGAAGATCAACGCGTAGCATGGCATACCATGGCGTGGCACTGCGTATTACACATTGCATATCATACCATTGCAGCTGAAGTTATGGCATCGCACAGCGGATCACACATAGCATTACGTTGCATGCCACGGCGTGGCACTAAAAATGAGGCCTGCGTTGCAGCGGGAACGCGATCTGGAACGAACAGAAGCGCGGACATGTGTCCAGGGCTGCAGCGGAAACACGATTCGGAACGAGCGGAAGCGCGGAAATGAGGCCAGCGCTGCAGCGGGAGCACGATCCGGAACGCACGGGAAAGCGAACATGAGGCCAGCGTTGTAGTGGGAGCAACATTAGGAAGGACTGGAAAGAAACGGCAACTCGCCAGAATCTTGTGTGTAAAAACAATACGTGGAGGGGGGCCAGACATTTTCGGGACAGAGTCAAGGGAGAGAGGACATCAGTGTTCATGTTATGTGATTTTGAGGGTGGAGGGTTGAGGGGCAAGCTAGGTGCGCTTGCATTTCATATGACGTCATCTCCCTCCCACCCATTCCTTCCCATGGCGGTGACTTGTCATTATCTGCGGACGCGTGCCATAGCCGACCTGCGACTTTCACAGAGAGACCACTTCGTGCTATGCGCAATCGAAAAACAGCAGAACTGCGTGCACAGGGGAAGGATGTGGCGGGTGAGCAGCGGGATGAGCGGGAGGAACAGGGTGAAGACGAACAGGAGCAGCAGTAGCAGCAGGAACTACAGTGCAAGGGCAGGGAGGAACAGGAGGACCAAGGGAAGGCGGAGGAGGGGGAGCGAGGGGGGCGACAACGGTGAAACAGCAGTTCGGATTTAGAGTTGTGGCCCGCGTTGTGGCGACGAACAGCAGCAGCAGGACTTGGAGTGGAGGGGGCGGGGCGGACAGGGGCACCATGGGAAGGCGGATGAGTGAAGCAGGATTCGGGTCCCAAAAAGCGGCCCGCGCTGGGGCGAGAGTTTCATTCTGAACGGCGGGAGCAACTCGCCGATCGGACCATGAGGACCACGCTGCATCGGGTCACCATTCTGAACTACCGAAGGCATGCGGACAAGAACGCCATACGAAAACATAAGTCTGAAACCCGGTGGGGGAACAAACATCTGCGGAGGGGGCGGGAGACCTCCCAGGCAATTTCAAGGGGATTAGGGGGAGTAGTATTCGCATTGTTTAACTGTGGATGGGGGGGGGGGATGGCGGGAGGCGAAAGGATGAGGGGGTGGGTGGGGGGGGCGGGGGAAAGGGGGTGGGGGATGGAGGGGTGGTGGAGGCGATGGGGTGGATGGGGGGAAGGGGTGGCAGGGCGGGGACTGCGGGAGGGCGGGGAGCGGGGGTGCGGGGGTGCGGGGGGGCGGGGGGGGTGGCGGGAGGGGGGCAGGTGAGGGATGGGAGATTTATGGGCGTGAGGGGGGGGGGACGGAGGAGGGGTGCGGGGGGGAAGGGGAGGGAGAAGGGGGAAGGGGGAACGGCAAGTTAGGTGCGCTCGCGTCATATTTGGCGTCCTACCCCTCCCTCTCATCCCTTATCATGGCGTAGATCTCCTCACTATTCGCACAGTCTGATGTAGAGCAGGGCAGTGATCGCGAGAGGGTACGCGATGCATGGTAGAGCATGGCATGGCATGGCGAAGAAGAGCACGGCAGAGCGTAGCATGCAATAGCATGGCGTGGCATTGCGCAGTGAAGCGTTGCATCACAAAGCTTTGCGACGCCTTGAAAGCCTGTGGGCGAGTCTCCTGCAGCATCCGGGACGGACTCTCGCGGCGCCGCGGCGCACGCCGCCCCTCGAGAGCGGCCCGACCTCCCTTTAGTGTGAAGCTGCAGGGTTGTGGGCTGTCGGGAGACCTCGGGCGAGAGCCTGGCCCGCCCTGCCGACGCGTCTCGGGGGGCGGCAGGGAATAATTACTTGTGAGGGAAGGAAAATATCAGTGGAGGAGGAGGAAGAGTGGGAGGAGGGGGGGGGAAGGAGTGGGAGGAGGAGGAGGAGGAGGAGGGGGAGAAGGATGAGGAGGGAGGAGGAGGAGGAGGAGAATGAGGAGGAGGAGGAGGAAGAAGAGGAGGAAAAGAGGAGGAGGAGGAGGATAAGGAGGAGGAGGGGGAGGAGGAGGAGGAACCCTGAGATCTTGACCTGGCGATTTCGTGTTATTTCGGGCCCCGGATCCCCGCGGATCAATCCAGTCTGGAACTTGCCGTAGGAACACGGCGTCCAGGGCTGTGGTCGTGGACCCCATGTTAATTCAATCGAGCCATGAGATCTCGGCGGAGGCGAAGGAGGAGGGGGGGAGGAGCATGAGAACCAGTGCAAACCCAAGAGTCATCAACGATGTTGGCATATATCCTCCCTCCAAGCTCCATCATTATAGGCCCCATGCAAGGGCTCATTTCCACTGAGGGAGGTACCCCGCTGGGAGACAACCGTTTGAAGATCCTGAAGCGTGCCCACAGCACCGCTTATATGACTTCAACGCCAACGAGTCAACTCTACTGCTGCTTTTTCATGATCCCGAATCCTGCCAGAACGCCGTTCCTGGGACTTCACGCCGCAGATCAACGTAACTGTTACGCCCTGGCTAACCTGAATCGTTCCAAAACGTCATGTCTGGTACGTTACCCATGAGAGCCAGTAGCCCTTGCAATTTTCTAAAACGAATGTGCGCGGCGCTGAGGCGATAACCTCATTTTGAAAAGAAGCAGCCCGCAACCTATGAAACTATCAAATTTTAAACCGATTGTGCGTGGTGCCGAGGCGAGAGCCTCATTTTGAAAACGAACCGCCCTCCATCCGTGAAACTCCCTGCACATGTTTAAAACGAATGTTCGCTGCGCTTAGGCGAGAGCCACATTTTGAAAGCCACCCGCCCTCAACTTGTGAAACTGCTGCTAGTTGTTAAATGCGAATGTGTGTGTGGCGCTAAGCCGAGCGCCACATTTTGAAAACCACCCGCCCTTCCATGTGTGAACAGGTTGCCAGTTTTTATGCCTCATGCTGATAAGTGGTAAGGAAGTCTCAGAGGAACCGCCCAGCCCGCCCTTCTGACCTGGCCTCGGGGTGCGACGGGGAGGAGTTGTTCATAAGGAAAAGGAGGAGGAGGAGAAGGATGGGAGGAGGAAGGGAGAAGGATGATGATGATGATGATGATGATGATGATGATGATGAGATGATGATTGATGATGATGATGATGATGATGATGATGATGATGATGATGATGGATGAGGATGAGGATGAGGATGATGATGAGGATGAGGATGAGGATGAGGATGAGGATGAGGATGAGGATGGGATGAGGATGAGGATGAGGATGAGGATGATGATGCGATGAGGAGAGAGAAGGAGAGAGGTTGAGGAGGAGGAGGAGGAGGAGGAGGAAGGAGGAGGAAACAGAGAAGGAAGAAGAGGAGGAGGAGGTGGAAGAAAGGAGGAAAGAGGCAGGAGGAGGAGGCGGAATTGGAGGAGGAGGAGGAAAAAAGGAGGGAAGCGGAGGAGGAGGAGGAGGAGGAGGAGGAGGAGGAGGAGGAGGAGGGGAGGAGGAGGAGGAGGATGGGAGGAGGAGGATGGGGAGGAGGAGGAGGAGGGAGGAGGAGGAGGAGGCGGAGGAGGAGGATGGGGAGGAGGAGGAGGAGGAGGAGGAGGAGGAGGAGGAGGAGGAGGAGGAGGAGGAGGAATAATAAGGGCAAGCAGGCAGGGAGGCAGACAGGCAGGCAGGCAGGCAGTACCACTCCATTCGCCTCCCCGCCTCATTCACCCCACGAGCTACTACATGCACTCGGGTTGAACCCTCCGTTTCCACTTATGAGCCGTCCTTTTGCCTCCAATCGATGCTTGCCTGAGGGACGAGGTCTGGCCTAGTTTCGCCTCATGGGGCTTCTTGGGGGGCTGTGGGGGCCTCCCGGGAGCGTCTTGGGGCGGTAGGCTAGACTTTTCGGTTCGTGGTCCGCCTCTTGAGGCCGTCTTGGGGCCCTCTTGGGCCGTCTTGGGCGCCTCTTGGGCCGTCTGGGGGCCCTCTTGGGCTGTTTTGGGGGCCTCTTGGGAGCCTCTTGGACCGTCTTGGGGCGGTCTTGGGGGCCTCTTGGGCCGTCGTCTACGCCGTGGAAGGGGAAAAACCGTATACGCTAAACATGTACGTTTTCCTTAGGAAAATCGATGATCTTGGCCTCTTGGGGCCCTCTTCGGACGCCCCTTGGGCGCCTCTTGGGGGCCTCTTGGGGGCCTCTTGGGCCGTCTTGGGGCTGTCTTGGGCGGTCCTGGGCTCTTCTCGGACGGAAAAGGGGAGAAATCATAAACAAACATGCAAAAACCCGAGGGGGACCCCCCCAAACGGCCATAAGAGCCCATTTGTGCCCGCTACGCCCCCCCCTGGAACCTCCCCTTAAGGGGCTTCGCCCAACACACAACGTCATCGCTCGTACCTCGCTCTTTCTGTTTCCTGAGGTCGAAAACTGGGATAAACTAGTATACTTCTGCGCGTTCCTGCACAACTTGGCTTCGTCTGTGCTAGTACAGCCTCGCAGGCCTAGAGGTTGACACCAACACCAATCTCGGCTGTGTGCCTCCACCGAGGGAAGAAGACCCCGATCTTTTCGATGGTGGTAATATTATGGATTCTAAGGTGACCGAAATATTACCACCAACACCGAAATCGAGGATCGTCTTCCCCCTGCGAAGTCACCCCCCTGTGTTGGTGTTGGTGCCAATGTCCAGGCCTCCAACAGCCTGGCGACCTCTTATTCCTGCGAAGACCTCCCAGCAGTTGCCTCCCAGCTCTGCCGCCCTCTTTCTGTGCCCCTCTTCTCCACCGCCGCTCGCGGCGGAGGTGGTGCCTGACCGAGAGCCAGCCCCTGAACGTGCTAGAGGGGCACGAGGACGCGGCGCGCGGCTTGCACGTGTGGGGGGGGGCCGCGGCCGCAGTGCGAGGGCCTCCCCGGAGCCGAGGCCGAGATCTGCCCACCACCGCCTCGGGGGGAGAGCAGCGCAGTCGGGGCGCGCATCAAGAAGCCGTGTGCTTCTCGTCGGGGTGCCCTCTGGGCGTCTGCGCTCCGCGCCCTGCGCTGCGACTTTTCCGCGGCCGTCGAAGAGGAAGAGGCTGCTGCGCTCGGGGTGCTCCGGGCCTCTCTCAGGATCGGGCGACGAAATCTATACATATCCACTGCTCCCTGGCCAGGCCCACTCTGAACCCAGGAGCTGTGTATACGCCCTCCTGACCCAGCCAGGAGGGTGTGGCGTATACACTGCTGCTGGGTTCACGGTGTGCCTGGCCAGGGAGCAGTGGATATGTATAGATTCGGTCGCCCTACAGGAGCCCCTCGCGCACAGGTTTTCCAAGGTTGGGTTTCCTGCGAAGGTGTCTTGCCGCCGCGCCCGCACCATACACTCACAGGGGACCGAGCAATGGCATAAACATAATACATCCCCAGGGCGAAAGTTTCTTCCTCTTGGGCCCGGGACGACGGTCCGAAGTCTTGAGCATACGCGTATGAGATAACCGCCGTCGGACCCCATGGAGGTCGAACGATTTCCATTGTGGTTTTGGTTGCTGTTTCGGCGGATACGATTTCCGTCCGCGCGGATCCGATTTCGGATCTTCTGGATCCGCGTCCGGCCTCGTGTTTTTTTTTTTTTTTTTTTTTTTTTTTTTTTTTTTTTTTTTTTGTTATCATTATTATTTTTTTTCACGGCGGATCCGATTGTTACCCCGTTTTAAATTTATATGATGACATTAAAACGGGGGAACCGGACGAAATCGGATCCGCGGACTCCGGAACCCAGCCGTGTCAAGATTCTACGGGGGGAAGGGGGTTGGGGTTCGGTCATCAACGTCCCAGGATGGGCCTTGCGCTGTTTCGCGCACTTCCATCAACTTTCTGCGCGCGGGGGCCCCCCCTTTACATGAATGCGTCTCTCTCCTCCTGGACGAGTTGCACGCAACTCGTCCAGAAACCGTTCGTTCGGCGGCGCCGATGTGATCCGTCGAACTCAGCATCGCCGTTTTCACCTCAAGAGGAAAATCCTTCGTCCTGCGTGCGTGCGTTTCGGGAATGATGTGGTGCGCCCGGATGACTCAGGGCTGATCTATGGAGAACGTGTCCCATCATCTTACCTTCCCAAGAGTACCCGCTGGCAGGGTAAACGGCTATCCGCCGCGGGCCTCTGGTAGGATCTGCATTCCCCCCACATTGCCCCCCCCATCCGCCTCCCTCCTCACTCAAGGGAGGGAGTCCCACCCAGACTGGACAACTGGCGTTTACTAAATGGCCTTGGGCGTTTATGAAACAGCCCTGCCTTGTTCGATTCCTTCAGTGGGGGCGTTGAGTAAACGGCTTCGCGTGTCGGGGTGGTTATTATGGGGGTGGATTTTTTGTCCTGTACTCACACTCCTTCCCCCCTCTGGCTCCCCTCGCGTGCTCTCTTGGCGCGGTCTTCTCCTTCCCACCCGCCCCTTCGGTACCGTCTCCTGTGCATGCCCCGTTCCCCTCCTGCGCCATCTTCTCTTTCCTGGTCGTCCGTCTCCCTAAGATCCGATGTCGTGAAACGAGCACGTCGTTGGAGAAATAATTACGACAGGAGTTTCCGAACTTGTCTGTGTGCGGGATCTACCGAGCGGGATTTCGAACTGTGTTGGTCTCAGGGCCCGACCTGAGGGATAGTACGTTGTTTGTCCTTGCGATCGTTCCCCCCTCCTTCCTGCGAGGACCGCGTGAACCGGGTCGTGTTCCACCCCATGGGCGAGCACCTCGTCTCGACGTCCCACGACATGAGCTGGCGGGAAGGGACTGCTGGGGGCGACGAGTGCGGTGAAAATGAAGATGAGGATGACGATGATAATGATGCTGATGATGATGAGGGTGATGGTGATGGTGATGGTGACGATGATGATGATCATGATGATGGTAATGATGATGATTGTGGTATTGTTGATGATGATGATGGTGGTGGTGGTGGTAATGCTGATACAGATGACGCTGCTGCTGATGATGATGTTGATGTATAGGATGATGACGATGGTGATAATGTGATAATGCTGCTGCTGATACTGCTGCTGCGGATGATGCTCATCATCATCACCACAACCATCATCATCTTCATCAACATCATCATCATCCTCACCATCATCATCATCATCATCACCATCGTCATCACCATCACCATCACTATCACCATCATCATCATCATCAGCATCATCATCTTCATCTTCATCTTCGTCTTCAGCATTATTGGCATCACTATCATCATTACCAACAACAGCAGCATTCGCACCATCATCATCACCGCAATCATCATTACCATCACAACCATGGCCATCACCATCAACAGCATCATCACTATCACTATCACCATCACCATCACCATCATCATCACCGTCATCACTATCATCATCACCATCACCGTCACCATAATCATCATCATCGTCGTTGCCGTCGTCATCCTTCTCATCATCTGCCTCATAATGCTCATCCGCATTCCTGTCTTCATCCTCATCCTCATCATCATCGTCACCATCCTCAACACTAGCATTAGCATCATCATCATCAGCATCATCAGCATCATCATCATCAGCATCAGCATCAGCATCATCATCAGCAGCATCAGCAGCATCATCATCAGCATCACGATCTTCATCATCATCACTATCATCATCATCATCATCATCATCATTGTCACCATCATCATCACCACCACCGTCATCATCATCAGTATCATCATCATAATCATTATATATCAGCATCATCATCGTCATCATCATCACCATTAGCACCATCATCATCACCATCATTATGATGCTCATCATCAGCATCATCATTAGCATCATCACCAACATCATAATCATGATCAGCATCAGCATCACCATCATGCATCATCGGCTATTGCGTTTCCTGCTGTATCTGAATCCAGTGCGCGGCCAGGGATGGGCTCCCCCAGGACCAGGTGACGCGGGGCGGCCCCAAGACGCCAGACCGGGCAGGCTGCTCAGCAATGGCCCAGTGCTGTCTGAGGCCAGCAGGGGGCATGGCAGCAGCCCGCCGCCGCAGCACGGGCCCACGGGCCAGGCGGTGAGAGAGAGAGAGAGAGAGAGAGAGAGAGAGAGCCCCAGACCCCAGGGGCAGTAAGTGCCGACGGCCTCCGCGGGGCCGCCAGCGAAGTTTTATGCAAGGCGCGCCCGGCCGTGCTTACTGCTGCTTTCAGGGGCATCGATAGGGGGGGATGGGCATAGGGGGGGGAGGCATCGACCCCCAATCGCCCATCGATCGCCGACGGGGGCCCGGTGGCCCCAGCCTGCCCGGGAAGGTGCGGACTCGCCATCGGGGCCTATCGCCGATCCGTCGGCGATGCATCGCCGATTCCAGGTCGATGCATCCTCCCCTCTATGCCAGTCCCCCCCTTACAGTGCTGTTTTTATACATGCTCCGCGTGCGGATCATGTATAAAAAATGCGGGGATTCAGTATTAAAGACAACGAAGAGTTCATGCATCAATTTATTCATAAATGAATCACGTATTTTCAATCCAATATCTTTAAACATCCGATGCAACAAAAAAACTGCCCCCTGTTGGTGCCCCTCGCTGTACTGCTGCTCGCACTCGTCCAAGCGCGGGGCGGCCGCGAGGGCCCCGCGGCGGGCGGGCTCCGACCCGCGCGCCCACGGCGGCGCACCCGCGGCTCGCCCTCTCGGCGGCGGCTCGCGCTGGTCGGCGCAGCCTCGAGGGCCTTCCCGCTGCGCCCGATGGTGGACGCAGACGCCGCGGCGAGCGAGGGTTCGGGGTTCGGGTTCGAGGCTCGAGGTTTTCGGACGTTTTCGTGGGTTCTCGGCGGTTTTCCAGCCTCGGGATGCTTGTCAGAAGCTGCGCCTCGCGGAGGGCGTTCTGGGGGTGCCCGACTCGTCCCGAACGGCCGCCGGAGACCCGAGCTGTGACCCCAAAACCAAAAACCTGTGGAAGCCCATGCCGAGAAGCACCCTGCCTGCCTCGAGGGTGCCCTGGGTGTCTTGGGCTTCGATGGCTTGGCCATGCAGCGCGTGGCGTTCCCGCGCCACCACACAAATCCATGAGCGTCCCGGGGCCTCAGGGTTGGGCTCCTTGTGGAAGGCTTCTCGTGGTCGAGCTCCTACTCCAGATTTCGTAATAAAAGGGAGGGGGTCTGGACCCTCCAAGACGAGCCATTTCAGACCTCCCCCGTGGGAGAACCCTCCAAAACATCGTCCCCAGACCCCCCAGGCCCTCCAAGATAGCCTGGAAGAGACCCCCCCCGAAATGAGACCCCCCTCCTTTTATTACGAAATCTGGAGTACTGTGGCACACCCTTCGCCGTCCAAGCCCGCGATGGCTTTCGCCTGCGCGCCGCCAGCGGCCTCCTGCTTCTCGCGGGGCGACGGCCCGGGCCCCGCAGACGGCGCACCGGCCACGTCCCCTCTCGGGGCGGTGGCCGAGGGGGCAGCGCGAGGCCCCGCGGCCGCTCGCCGCTTCCGTCCTCCTCCTCCTCCTCCTCTTCATCCTTCTCCTCCTTCCCAGCCTGCTCCAGCTGGCGGCACTGTGTCATGTGCTGCCGTCGCGGCCTCGAGCACTGGCGGCCTCGTCGCCCCGCTCGGCTGCTGCCGCGGCGGCCCCGGCGGGGCGGGCCACCGCGGCACGCCGACGCAGGCGGCCCCCGAGCACGGTGATCGCCTCTCACAGGTCCGCCAGCAGCAGCGTGCGTACGCTCGGCACGGACGGCGTCCCGACGAGCAACTTCACCGCCTCCGTGTCCACCACGGGCGTCCGTAGAGCAGCTTCGCGACCAGCTCCACAAGCCATGGCGGGCGCCTTCGCGAACGGCACCACGGCCACGTCGAGCTCCATGATGACGAGCTCCACGGCCGGGTACACGATGAGCTCCTACTCCATGACGGGCAGCTCCACCGCGACGAGCTCCAGCTCCGTGGCGACGAATTCCACCTTCCTGAGGAGCTCCAGCTCCATGACGAGCTCCGCGACGACGACGACGAGCTCCAGCTCCATGAAGGGCAGGTCCACACCGTGCTCCACGACCAGGTCCACGACCCGCTTGAGCTCCACGGCCAGGTCCACCACCAGTTCCGTGGCCCTGACGGGCGGCCCTGCGAAGAGCTCCGCGAGCTCCGCGTCGAGGGCGCCCTCCGGGGCCTGCTCCGCGACCATCTCCGCGGCCAGGGCGCGCGACGAGCTCCGCCTCGTCCCCCGTCGGCGCGGGGGTGCCCGCCGCGAGGAGCAGCTCCAATGGCGGTGTCCGCGTCCGTGGTGTCCAACCAGGCCCCTCGTCTGCGACGGGATCCGCGGCCGCGGTGGGCGGCCCCGCGACGAGCTCCACGGCGAGGGCGGGCGGCACCCTCGGCGGCCTCCCGCGGCCCGGGGGCGTGCTCCGGGGCCTGCTCCACGACGCACTCTGCGGCCATGGCGGGCGGCTTCGCGGCGGGCGCCGCTGACTGCGCGGGGGGGCTCCCACGCCCTCCCCCGACTTCCTCCGAGCCCTCGCTGACGAGCACCACCATCCAACCCTCCGAACTGCTCGACGAGCGCGTCAGGCGCGCAGGTTTCGGGCCGAAGGCCGGAGCGGTGCGCGGGCGGTCGCTTGTCCCCGAGGCGGCCGACCCTTGGGGCGACGAGATCTATACACATCTACCGCCCCAGGCCTGGCCCATCCTGGGCCCAGGAGCTGTGTACCTGCCTCCCTGGCCAAGGGAGGAGGGCGCATCCGCCACTCCTGGGCCCGGGATGGGCCAGGCCGTGGGCAGTGCATATGTATGGATCCCAGCCAGCTCGGGAAGGTCAGCACAGGCGGCAGCACCCGCTTTCCCGAGGCTGACCGCGGCCATCGCCCCGGCCACCGCGCGAGTGACTCCGATTGGCAGCCCTGCCGGTGCCCGCCGCTCCGCGTCTGGCCTCGCG